AGCATTATATTCCGTTGGAAAGAGTGTAATTAACTTCCGCATCAGTCGTGTCATTAAGAGATTCCCATATTCATCAGCGATTTTTTCTTTTCGTTAAAAAATAGTTTCCATCGATGAGTTCTGCTACGGACGCAAGCCCTTCAATTTGGTCTCCACTCATTGACACCAAATTTTACCTGTGTTTGCTTTAGCTGGCCGTTCCTAATCTAGTTTCAAAGCTTCCAGTAGCGATATATATATATATATATATATATGCATATATCCTTTCATTATTATTTGAGCCAACTTGTCATGTGGTCTGGTAAGGGCTCTTGTACAGCCCGAAACACGTGTTTCGTCCTTACAGACTATTCAGCCGGGCCGGACCCGTCGTCTTCCGATCTTTTTATAGTCAGTTCTCTCGCGAGCCTCACACTCGTTATAGAGAGTCATTGAAGACGTACGTTTTACACTATATGTCAAGTGAAATTTTCACCTAACACGGAGTGTTGCGCACCCGATTGCTCTTTGGCTGGTACTTTTATCATAATAATACCTTTATTTCGAGTGCTTTGTTTAGACCACTCTCAAATTTCACTAGATCCTCTCATTATTGTTTGAGCCAACTTGTCATGTGGTCTGGTAAGGGCTCTTGTACAGCCCGATACACGTGTTTCGTCCTTACAGACTCTTCAGCCGGGCAGAACCCGTCGTCTTTCGATCAACCTACAAGAGCCCTTCATGACATGTTGGCTCAAATAATAATGAGAGGATCTACTGAAATTTGAGCGTGGTCTAAACAAAGCACTCGAAATAAAGGTATATATATATATATATATATGTATATATTATATAATAGATATATAGAAATAGCAATTTGCACATGGACACTGCATATAACTTCTTCCAACTTGCTGTAGATTACGTTCAAGTCGCTCTCATCAACTATTCAAGTTGTTGAGTAGCAGTTGACAACACTGCGTTTCCTTCAACGCAGAAGTTGGAGACGGAGATTAGCCAGGCGCAGTGATCGGATTTCAAATGTTTTACTGCTTTTCATCACTTGTAGGACGATGCCGTGAAACTTAATGTAACCAGCGGCCTCAATAAGAGCGTAGAGGTACGCATTGATAGACTATTTTGATATTATAGGACAAGATGCGACCTCCATGGCGAGTGATGGTAATGTTCGTTCCATCCATTTCCATTTCGGTCCTATTGAACCCTAGATTATATAACCCGCCACCGATTCCCTCACCATTCGACGTTGCAGACGTTAGCATTCAGTGCGTGGGGTACAGAGGTAGAAATTCTGCTGGAGCAGTCATTGTTGTCTGAACTCCCAAGATCGGCATACCCGTTGCCTTTCTCAGGTCCTCATCATACAAAACATCCACTGGCCCTGAGGATCAGAGAGAGATTTGTCACCTTGCGACTAGTTTTACGTTTTACATTTTTTTTTACGTTTTACGACGCGACGAGTAACCATAATAATGCTTTTATATGTTGGTGACCTATTTGAGCTTTCTTAATTCATTTTTTGGAAATTATGCATCCAATCAGCTTTTTGTATAATTTTCAGGCAGAGAACAAACGTCGTCTCGATCTTGACGATGACCGTGTAATGCAATCATTGATGAATATCGCTGCACAATCAAATCATTCCAGCACAAAGTCAGTTATTATTTATGGTTCAATTGTGGCTCACAGGTGATCAATTCCAGTCAACCTACCTTGTAAACACTTCGAATTTGGCCGCACTGGCTTGTCAGCACAGAACTCAACGTCTGTAACAGTTTTTATACATACGTAGCTACCGAGCAAAGACAGCGTAACTTGATTTCAAGTCGCATTATTTTCTAATTTTCATCTCATCACAAAAAGCGCATTCGTATTTTTTTTTCTATTTTAGCAATAGCTGAAGAGCTAAATGCTGTTACGTTGGATGTGGTGTTTGAATACCTACTCTTTGACTCAAACTTTATATATATATATATATATATATATATATATATATATATATAGAAGCTCCCGGAGTTGATCAATCCCTGAGGGATGCGCCATGCATTCGACTTCAATTTTTAACTTCGTTTGAGGTGATTGAATGCATATCTGGCCTTTACAATGACTCACGGTGGCCTCGCGCTGAACCGAGTCACTGCTGCTTATCCTCCCAGACAAGTCTGAGACCTGTCTGGTACCAGTTTACCGACCCCGGAGGGATGGATGGCTTGGTGAGCCATGAGCGCGAGATCGAACCATTAACCTCGTGTGCGACGCACAGCACCTCTAACCACTGCGCAACATGCGCTCTATATATATATAAACAACAAACACCTAGTTTATTAACCAAAAGTAACAAAATTGCATAAGTGTGACATCGCTCAATTGCGCATTCTTGCCTACACTTCCTCCAAAATGTGGCTGTCTTGGGAACAAACCTGCTTTCTACTCATGCACGAATGGCGCGCAGTGGAAAATCCTAGTAAAATACGCGCAAGATTAATGGAGCTTCCTGTGGAAGGCCCCAGAGCGGCTTCGCAGTCCTCCAGACTGTTCTCTTCAGCTTCGAAATTCGCGAACCACTTTCTAGCCGTCCTTTATGCAACCGTATCATCGTGACGAACTCGATTAATCTTACGTTCCACTTCACTAGCATTTTCCCCAATGCGCAATTCGCGCATCAGTAGCAAACGAATTTTATTCCACCACAGCTCTATCTTTGAGCAAGTATAGGCAAGTTGTATACCAAAATGTTCGCCAGAAAATGCGAAATTGAAGGATAACAAACCATGCCACTTTGATGACTCCCGGTTAATGAATTTAGTGCTTATCTTTCTAGTGCCAAGCAATACAAGACATATGGAACGACCTAATATTTGAGGGCGTCGTGGCCGACTGGTTATGATGCTCGTCGAGGTACGAGCGCCTAAGCCCCATCCCCAAACCTTCTCCGACAGTTAACATTGAACTCTTTTGGAATGCCACAGCCAGGCTGTCCTCGAGTCAGTAAGAAGACATGCTCAACCAATATTTTACGATGTTTAAAAAGAAGACAAAAAAGCGAATCGAATGCTGGAACCACTGGGATCCGCACAAAAAAAAAAACACTGTGAAGACGGATCAATAAAGTGCATTAGAGTTAAAAAAGTGAAAAGTGTGTGTTTTAGCTCACATTTGGCTACAACATCTGCTTCCAGACACTATGCTTCTTCAACCATTGCTTATTAAGCTTTAGTTTTGCACAGAATTTCTCGCAACAGTTCACAACACGACCCGGAAAACATCGTTTTGCTGTGGAAACAAGCACGCAGAATCTGAGTAGAAATTTTGTGAACAAGTCAATTTCAGATATTCGTGAGAAAATACTACATAAACAAAGGAATTCGTGCTGGTGAAGTAATGATTACGCTTATTAGATCAGCAATTACGAAAGTAAGCAAAAAAAATTTGTAACAAATTTTCAGAAATTTCCTTGGCCTCTATATATTTGCGAAGTCGCTTGCGAAAATTTCCGACAATGCTCGCACAGGTTTCCATCGTAACTTCGTCACAAGCGCGTTCAAGGCCGTTTTAAGGCCGTCTACGAGTGTAGCGGGTAACCGAGACTCTTGTTTAGCGTGGACCACACGGAGTAATTCATTAGGTTGAGAACCGACGAGTCTGACGGCCGAATGTGCTTGCCCCAAAAGCCTGGAAACAGTTCTTGATAAATGGCAATCGTTGAACGCGCCGAATGCGCATGATCTCAGTCCTGCTGAAGCGTAAATTTGTCGGCGACAAAGTGTCCAGTAGTCTAAAGCTTCAGTACGCCCCCTAAAACTTGCTGCTGATAGCTGGCAGCGTTGATTTTGACGTTTTTGTTGGTACTTAGCAACAGCGTCTCTTTAAGTGGCGCAAATGCCGGCCCAAACCTTCGCAGAGGCCGTAAAATGGCTACAGCCCATGGTTTTTTGCTACTGCGGACTTCTGCTCACCCTTCTTGAGAAGTTGACGTTAATTTTGGCGATTGTAGGGTGGTTCAACCGTTAATATCTCATCATTCGTAAAAAAAACACTCTCGGCAAACAAGCACAGCTATCAAACGATTCAATCGGCAAGCCTTTAAAACCGTTTTTGTTTATCTTTTCGTTCAGAAGATAAGCATGAGGACCCTGAAATTGCGCAGCCTCAGCTTGTTTTTGACACTGTTTCGGACACTCCACCACCTTATCCCGACTTCCCAAGCCATTTTGCATTAACGCTCCGGATTTCGTTGAACTCGGCAGCGATTATTCGAATGTCGCGTGAGGTAGACGAGGGGTTGGACGACATTTTCGAGGACGATTCCCAATCCCCTTCCAGTTTCTTTGAAACGTTTCACGGCTTTTAAGGCTTTGTAGACAATTGCTTGTTCGAAACCGAACGATTCTCACAATGTCGTCTGTTTTCATTCCCATCTTGTAAAACTTAACTACTATGATACCTTCATTTTCATGACCCATAACTTTAGCGCAACTGTAATTAGAAAAATAAGTAAAACAAATTTTGGACAAAAATTGAACAAGGAATTCGATAAAATTACCATCATGTATAAAAAAAGGATGCTACTATTAAGTCACATTTGGTATTCGAGAGCCATCACATTAGCCGGGCTATTGATCACTTTTTCAGTATTATTTAACAATGTGCATAGCTCATGTAAACGAAAGAGATTTACAGAGGTTTCCTAATCACAGGGAGATTTGACATTGATGCTATATGTCAACAATGTACCTTTTATGATTTATGCATCAAAGAATCTATGGTTCCTCGTAGATTTGTTGAGGCACTTGTAATGCACCAGCAATGATTATCCCCAATGCACACATGACAGTGGGTTCAATTTCTGTGCTCACTGGTAAAAACATTTTGATTCTCAGCGGTCGAACATAGTCCACATTGGCGATAAGAGCACCGATCTCATATGTTGCAGTTATTTTATGAGCTGAACATTCAAACACGTCAACGATCCTAGACTGAAAGAGTGATGTGCAAAATAAGCGTCAGTAGTGCAACGGGTTAAAGCACGCGCTCCTGGATAGAGTGAGATGTAGGTTCGAATCCCACTTGACGCGAAAGTTTTGCATATCCCTCTAAATCACTGGATATATTTATGAAATCTCAACACCGCTAAAGCGGTTAAATCAAGATAATTCCCTTTCATCTTAGATTAACAATAATGCCTAGCACACTTCTATGATATTGATTAGTGCCGAAGTCTTTTTACTCTATATTTTATAGCCAGAATTCTGCAACCAAATCCTCATCAAGTTTCATCGGCTCTCGCAACGTCTAGCCGGGCACAGCTCAAATCCTCAAAATTTTTCCCATCTTCGCGATCCACGAGAATATACATCAGTAGCGAAACAAATGGGAACAGCTCATATAGATGATGAGACAGATGAAAGATACACGAAAACGTGTACTTCACGAGTATACACCCGTCCCCGATGACGACCAACTCCACGTTAGGCGGACGTATCTAGAAACAGAATTAGGTAGCTGTATTTGTAGTCGTTAATGTTCTACAGAAGAGCGCATGTGCCGCAGTGGTTAGAGGTGCTCTGCGTCGCACACGAGGTCAATGGTTCGATCTCGCGCTCATGGCTCACCAAGCCATCCATCTCTCCGGGGTCGATAAATTGGTACCAGACAGGTCTCAGACTTGTCTGGGAGGATAAGCAGCACTGACTCAGTTCAGCGGGAGGCCACCGCGAGTCACTGTAAAGGCCAGATATGCATTCAATTACCTCAAACGAAGTTAAAAATTGAAGTCGAATGCATGGCGCATCCCTCAGGGATTGATCAACCCCGAGAGCTTTATCCTTTATCCTTTTTTTAATGTTCTACAGACACGGTATGAGACTCTCATCAGCCGCTATGCTTGAAGCAAACTGCTGTCATAGGTCGGTCGCTAGACAAAGAAGTATATGGAAATTATACTAAGATCCGCAAAACTCGCCAAGATGGCCATTCCAGAACTCAAGTATTAGATGAGATTCTGCAACTTACAGAAAACATATGTAACCCACAGGGTATCTCTGATTTACAGCCTTTATATCCATTTTGAGTTGATGCAATTCTATACTCAAAATACTGAGTGATTTGCAGAATTTGAACCTAGACAGGAGTTGAGTCTGCGTTTCATCCTTACCTATAGTGGCGCGATACTTTGACATGAAATAGTAAGCAGATCTGCTAATGGCAGGAAAAAAAATATCTTACACACTAGTTTAGCTAACCTATAACTATTTTTAGTAATTCCGGACGGCGATCTGAAGCATCGAAAGGTGACCAGAGATCTTCTAAGAGAAGCAATAGATAAAACGAGTGGCACACATTTGCTACCTAACGTTTCTTTGTTGTTAGTTAGTTGTTTTTGTTTGTAAAGAATAAATAAACAAATCTTAGCGGATCATATGAAATCTAAAATACCCATTTTCATTATTTACTCGATATATATATTTTCAACGTATCTGTACCCCTACTCACTGTGTTCTCTCCAAAATCGACGCTTTAATGTAATATTTTGAATTAGTGTGAATCAACTTCCAACGGTGGAAGAGTTTCATCATGTCGAAACTCTGTTCTACCCAGCAAACAGACGTATTTTTTTCTGAAGAAATATGGACTGCTACTTATATTGAGTGCTGTGTTTCCGCTTCGCTATAGTAGCTTAGATTCTTGGTCCCAAAGACAAATTTCACATCAGTGCAGTTTTTCCATCGTGTTCTTAACCATACCCACAAAAAAAGGGCCCATGTGACGATTTGACAGAAACCGATTGGAACGGCAAAAACAACATCACAGTGCATCTGCAAGTTTTCAAGTACTTCGCAAGGGGAAACGGCATACTGAGAGAATTACATAATCATTGATCAAACTGTTACAAATAATAGTGATGGTGATAGTGACAATATCAACTATTTATTTTGATTTTTTGGTATTGCTTATCAAACCGTAACTCAACTGTAACTTTTCAAAATCCGGGTAACGCGGTAGGCAAAGGTAGACTGCAATACTGGCCGGTGGTTTGATTGCCCGAACAAGCATTTCACCGGTTCACTACCGTTACGCCATTCGTTTGGATACTCATGGCACCGTTCAAATGCGCTCATTTCACCTTCGCCGACCGTCTTCATGAGTAGTAACTTCCCTTATAAATTTATTATAATATAGTTTACCCGTTTGAGGACCACCGTTGATAGGCAGGCGGTATCGCGCCGTCACTTGCGCGGCACCTGCGTCTATATGCGAGAACGTCGGGATGTCTGCGTCTGCGCTCCCACGAATGCCTTTATCCTCACGATACGAGACCCCGTCCTAACAGTAGGTGATTGAGACCGTGAGAAAATTGAGAGTGGAAAAAAGGGAGAGTACGTCCTGAGTATGGACAACCACCTCCTGAGAAACAGCCAGAGGCTGTAACTCAAAGAAAATGACAACATTATGCAATAACAATTACAAAACAAGGCTTGTTTGGTGAAAATGATTTTCTATCGACTCCAACTGTAAACATTATTCACTGATGAAATCTTTGCCACTGCAGCGAGCAATAATGCATAGTTGTGCTTTGTCCACTTCTCAACTCCACGAATAACCTCAATAAGACCAAGTGAAGGTGACATTGGAAGGCTCATCAATACATGCATCTCCCTCCCTCCCTCCTCCGTGAGGGATGCGCCAATATACGGCCTTCACAATGACTTGCGGTGACTTACCGACTTATGTAAATCAGTGCTGCTATTTCCCCAGAAAGGTATGGTATCAATTTACACCACGGAAGAATGAATGGCTTGATGAATCATGAACCCGAGATTGAACCACTGACTATGTATGCGACGCAGAGCACCTAAGCAATGCGCCTAACGCGCTCTGGCAGACAACTCTGCGTGCATGTCCTGTGAGAAAACGGACGCAGACAGCGTGGATTTCAAGCCGTTCGGGCCTGTCTTCCCACAGATGCGCCGCCATCACAGTAACTGAGTGAGATTTGACATCGCGCGGCATGGGACGAAACGTCCCACATGGTCCTTAAAGGATTACACTATGATTAGCGTGATGTGTTATGTATGTTACCTTCGTACACTCAACAACTTTACCATATGATGTCATCTACAGAAAAAATATTTCAGAAATACAGTCGGTACCAGAAACACAGCTAACGTGCCTAAAGACCATCCCCGACTTTTTTCTTGGTCTAGTTTGTTCTTGTTTTTACGGAATAAAATGGCAGAAAGCGTAAGAGAAGTAAAGTTGAGCTTCACAATTGCAGTGCTTGCTCGGACCCATGCCAGGCTCACCAAGCCTCTCAGGCCTCCTCGGCTCAGTAGGAACTCTCTAGCATAGCTGTCTCGGGCTGACAATTAATTCGACCAGTATTTAACAACGTTGATTGCAGAGACGACATCCACAAGCAATAGCCGCACCCACACGCAAAAGTTCAGAGACCTTCTTAATTATGGATGCGAGAATCTAATCGACGTTCATTGCGGTTTTATCGTGTTCAACGGAAATCATATATTGCAACAAGCGCATATATATATATATATATATATATATATATATATGTATATATACATCGCGATCCAATTGTATGGAAAAAACGTGTTCTACTAATGCGCTGTGGAACAACGAAAAATTTTCTCGTATTCACAAGTACAATACCGTGTGACCCGTTTTCGGGTCACTATTGTCCGCGCCACATGTTGAGTAATCCGCATTGATGTGAGCCAGAACACAAATCCGGTACTTATTTCAACAAAGTAGAATTTCAAGGGGAGAGCTGTGCCGCGTGGTTGTAATGCTCGTCACGGCGCGAGTGGAGCCAAGCTCCACCCTCGAATTCTCTCCGACAGTCAACAACGCCCTGTGGAACGCTACAGCCAGGCTATTGCAAGGAGACTCGCTCAACCACTATTCTACGCCGTTCCAGAAGAAGACGAGAAACGAATCTAAGGCCAGAAGTACTGGATCCGCAAAGTGAAAGAAACATTGTGATAACGGATCAGATAAAAAAAGTGCTAAAAGAGGTTCTAAGCGGGCATTACCAGTACTAAAAGGTGAAACATCGCTAAAGACAATTGTGTAAGGACAATTTCAATAAAACGCCTATGTGTCAATAAGTTCCCTTTTTTTTTTAACGAAAAAGGCATATCGTTGCGAAAAGAAACAAAGGTATTTCATACTGCTAATGAATATTTCTTTTATTTCGCTTTCATAATCATTCGATAATTCAGGAAATTCACAGCATAGAGTTCCCGGCAATTTAAAAGACAATATTTTGAATATCTTACACGAGATCAACTTCCAGTACGTTCTAAAGCAATCAACAATTAGTGCGTCCGAAAGCAATCAACGGTCGCTATAGTTATTATGATCAATTTGTAAATCACGGACTGCGGCTTCATACAATATGAAATTTTAAAATATACATTCAATTTATCAAATATCTAAAGCGTTTTGGATCGCATATATGAAAACCAGAATTGAAACATTCTATACACACATGCATCCTACAGTGGCTGCATCTAGTACACGTTTTTCTAGCATGTAATCGAGCATATTGAGCATTTCCACCTCTCGCCAACTTTCTATAGCATTCAACACACCGTTTGCATGGTCGTGATGTGGCCGGTGGCCTTACAAAAACGCGGCTAGTTACCGCCCGAGGAATGTCTCCTGTTAGGTAGCTGAGATACACCTGTTTCTTGAACTCGATGAACGTTATGTTCCGCACGTAGTCTCTGTAGATTATCCAAGCGTTCAATAAACATATATGAGTCACTAGGTGAAAGAACACACGTATGTACCTAAACAATGGAATTACGCATTGTGAAACATAAAACAGTAAAATTTCCGTACCATTTATAAGTCCTCCTGAGATACGGAGAATATGCAGCCATCTGATCGCTAAAACCCACAAACGGCCTCTGTTTCTTATAAGTCTCAACGACCTCTAAAAGTCCCGTCTCTGGATCAGTGGCGGAGCCGTGCGCTGTGGAAACCATGATAACTTCCCTAATATTCTTCCATTTGAGTATCATTACGCCACTCTGATTCTGCATGGCTATCCACTCCTCATTACGTAGTTTCTCCTTCAATAGTTGCTTTGGTAGACCGACCCCGCTCTTTCTGCACGTTCCGGTCAAATATGTTTCCTTCTGCAGTAGACTTTCAGCTAGAGGAACGCTGGTGTACCAGTCGTCAGCGTAGAGATGTCTTCCTTCACCTAGAAGATCGTCCATTAGGCTCATCACTATATGTTCTGCAAGACGTCCAGCAGGTCTCGGATTGGTGCCTTCACCTACGTAAGTCATTGTCTGGTACGTATATCCTCCTTCATCGCAAACTTTGTACAGCTTTATTCCATATTTGTTCCTTTCGAGTGGATTGTGCTGACGGAACACAATACTTCCCCTGAATGGTACAGTCGATTCGTCAATACACACATTTCTTCCTGGTCTGTACACAGCCTTACAATTCCTATTAACAAGTTGTAGCAGTGAGTTTATCTTATACAACCTATTCTTTCCATAATACCTCGAATTGTCAGCCAAATGCAAGTGGCCCATAATTTTGAAAAACCTAGTTCTCGTCATGATATTCGAGGCCACAGAGACTCCTGCAAAAGCCGGATGACTGCTCCAATACTGGTTGATTCTTGGCAATCGATCGACACTCATTTTGAGGCATAAGCCGATGAATCTCTTAATTTCATCCACCGTTGTCTCTTCCCAGCATTCGTTTTTCTGCTTACCAAAGATATTAGTCTGTTCCACAACCAACTGCCAAACATCCTTCATGAATAGTTCGTAGAAGTCGACTGGCCTCGCGCAAAACCGCAAGACGTCGCTCAGAAGACCAGCCCGTTGTTCATTGAAGGGTGGGATTTTGGGGCGAGACAACATTCCTAGACCACCCATCCAATGCGCCGGCATCAGCAGAAGTGCCTTGTTCATCGTTTTCTGAGCCACTATCTTCGTAGAAATCAATTGTGTTCGGGACATTGTTGTCCATGTTGTCATCAGCTTCGTCACAAACGCCCTCTTCGTCGCTGTTTTCCATGGCCTCCAATTCTTCGGCTTCGAACATAACTTCACTAAAAGTTAAAATCTCAGCAAACGAACACAGTATAGCAAGTTTTACCAATGGAATAATGAGACGAAATATCACAAACAACCACGAGCCAACTGAGGCAAAGCAAAAATGAGCTAAAGTACAGTCTGTTGCACAATTCTATGGAAGGCGCATTTACTGGAGTTTCACTGATAACCGGAAACTCGTAGACAGCTATCGTTGAAGCGTCCATCGCACAAAGTGCACATCATATAGATCGTAGTCAAACGATCTAATGCTTGCTTATTGGGTATTGTATGAAATTAGAGGATACCATACCCTGAAAAATTCATATGTAATATATGATTCAAGAACTATGAGCTGACTGAATAATGATTGACTTGAATGATCGAACAGAATTCTGTTTATTTAACAGCTTTCAATGGTGGTATCACCCGTATCACCAGTCGTCCCGTTGATCGTCGAGCGACTCGAGCGGGCACCAGCAACACTTCCATTTTACCCTATCGCATGCAAGAGTAGCCTAGTGGGTCCCTCCTGGATCTAGAGGTTCGTTGAGCATCATATCTTTCTTCTAAGCTTTTCATGAAAAAATCGGACCATCGGGTCGGTGGTCTCGTTGATTTAACGGTGGTATAATGTCATAAATATACGCAATGATGTACAGTAATGTGCAAAACTATTGCATCAGGTGGGACTCGAACCCCGCATTTCACCCTATCGTAGGCGCGTGCTCAACCACTGCACTACCGACGCACTGTTTTGACACACTCTTTCTACGTTAAAACACATTAATTTGTTAGCAATCAACCGTCAACGGTTCGGCCTGGTGGTCGATATCGACACTGAACCCAGTCACGCTAACAGATATTGGGTGCTGGAGAGGATAAGATACGAGAGGGCGAAATGCTGGTTCGAGTCTCGCCTGGTGCGCATGTTTTGCACGTCACCCTACATCATTGGGATTATCTGAATGCTCACTTTTTTGGCAATATGTAAAGGCGAACTGGGCACAAGAAATGAAAGATAAACAAGGTAGAAACATAAATAGGTACGAATAAAATAGCATATAATATATAGAACATGAAATAAAAGTTGGAAACACGTTTCCTTTAGAATTTTTTTTTGGAAAGAATGAATTTTCTCGTAGAAAAATGTGAGGTTTCAGAAGAGGCACTGAGGTTGTTTCTAATAATCATAGCCTTATTGGGATCTTTCCTATCATAATCCACCATTTACTGACGATAAATTGGCCTTCGGAGGAGCGTGGCCGAGTGGTTGCAATGCTGTGGTCGTCGCGCCGCGCTGGGACCCGAACTCCAGCGCAACGCTCGCCGGCATTGAACAACGACGCCCTAAGGCAAGCCACAGCAAGGATATCCTCGAGACTGCAAGGCAACTCGTGTTCAAACCACTATTCTACGACGTTTAAAAAGAAGACAATGGGATTGAAAGCTAGGAAAACTGGGATACGCACAGTGAAAAAACACTGTGAAGACGGATGAACAGAGTGTCTAAGAGAATTCTCTTTTAGCGACGATAAAAGCTGAATCAAATAGAAACTTATCAGATTGTAACTACAACACGCACCGCCCCACCATTGAAGAAATCGACGCGGTACCGAGCGCGCTGACGCGACATGATGAAAATTAAAGGTTGCCTGCAGTGAACAGATCGATGGTCCTGCAACGATTGCCTTGGAGTGCATTCAAAATGCTAGTGATTTTGAGAGGGAGAGACCTCACGACGGTGGGGGTCTTTTTCCTTCCCAGGTTTTTTGTTTCCTTGAAAATTGGCTGGAGAAATAGTGTTGTTGTGGAGTCCAGGAAGTCGAGAGGGCTGCCAAACTTTTTCTATTCTCTCTGTTAAGAGTTATTCATTTGTTATCATAACAATCCTAGTGTACAAATTGTTTCGTAACGTTGTTTATTGTTTGTCTGTTTGTTTTTTTCTGAGTACAACTAGTTTTTTGGACTTTTACATTAATTTAATGACGTCATGGTGCAGTGGTAGTTGTGGTTTTTGTTTCTTCGTAGTGCACAATTTCAGAGAGCTGCTTCGTAGCGATACGAATCAGTCAAACAGTACTTTTTGTGATACCAGAGAGTTCAGAGCGATTCAAAAATGGTGAGCGATACTTCGAGAATTTTGACGCTATAAATATATACCCAGTGTTATATAGTGATGTGCTAAATGGGCGTGAGTAGTGTAACGGATAGAGCACGCGCTCCCGGAAAGAGTGAGGTACGGGTTCTAGTCCCGCCTGACGCGAAAGTTTTGCACATCACTCTACATCAATGGGTATATATTTATAACTTCATACCACCTCTTGGAGCGGCCAAATAGAAGCAATTTAATTTGATTTCAACGCTTTTAGCCGTTTTGTTTATTTTTCGCGTGACTCTTGTTCGTTTAGACGATCAGTAAAAATAACAAGATGATGGCTCATCTAAACTTCAGGATGAAAGTCATACTGCAGGATGCTCGTACATTCGTAGGATATTTCAAAGGTTTGTGGATGAAGACATTTCCTTTTTGTTCATTTCTATATAGCTCTCATTCTGCTTTCATTACAGCATTCGACAAACACATGAATGTATTGCTTGCTGACTGTGAAGAGTTTCGTCAAATCAAACCCAAGCCTGGGAAAAAGGTTTCTTCTTTGTATCTGTATTCGTATTTACTATGAAGATGTAAACAGCGTCAAAATACATCCATACAGAGTTATTGCAGAAGTAACAGATTAGCAATAACCTCTGCGGACTTCTCTGGTTTTGTTGGTTGTTTTTTATGCACATCGATTTTTGTTTTCAATATCGTTTAGAGCAGCTTTTTACGGTTATTTTGATATGAGACACTTACACATTTATCTCGAAATGGAACTGTCCCGAGAGCGAAAATGATTATCGATGCTACACGAATATCGTTGCGTACCATAGCTGCACTTGTACCCAAATGTTACTCGTATAGCATGAAGAGTCGTTTTTGCTCTCGGGGCTATTATATCTCGGACAAATGTGTATGTGTTATATATCAAATCAATCGTAGGGAGCTGTTGTAAACGATAGTAGAAACAAAATGTAAATGCATTGAGAATATTCAACTTAAACGAGAAAGCCCGGAAAATTTCTTGCCGACTCAATAGAAGTAAAGTAACAGAGTAGGAGGTGTGAAGAAATGCCATGAAAAACTTAAGGCACGTTCACGATGCAGCGTTTACTGTGTTGATTCAAAGGGCAACATTTAGCACAGAGCATATGGTGCATTGGTTAGATGTGTACTGCAACGCAGACGTGGTTTCTACTTCCATCCCGCGTCTCAGAGCCACTAAGCTTTCCATTTATTCGGGGTTAGCGACTTAAAGCCATACTTGTCTGGGAGCATAACAGCACCAACCTTTTACGTCGGAAGACCATCGCGAGTTTTTTTTAATGATCGGATATGTTTTAAATCACCTCTGACGATGCTTAATGAAATCGAAAGCATGGCCCATCTCCTAGGGATTAATCAACGCCAAGGGCTCAATCTATTATACTTCAGTATAGTTTATTCAGCGAGAACATAGATTCTTGTCTTCTGTTAGTGGTAGGTTTTTGATTCTTATTCCTAACCAACTGACACATGTTGGTTTACACCTAGTATTGAAGTCAGTCTTCATATAATTGCTTAATATCTCTTTTTCCTTGTGGGCATGATGTTACTGCGTAATTTCTATGGAGTACAAACTAGCTTAATATGTTGATGTGTTGCCAATCTTTCTTATGAAAGAGATCATGCACTGATGAATTGCTATGGTCTGGACAGTCGTTGTGATAATCCATCTCATCGACTGTTTTTGAACCTCGCTGAAATATTCAATATTGTTTGTGAGAAGGAATGTTCAAAGCCGTGCCGAGGTTGCTACGTTAGTGCGCCACGTACGTTTCGAAGGTGTCGCGCGCTTCATCAGTGGCCCACGCCCCACACGGAATCTTACTTTGTATCAAGGATGTGGAGACGTTATTTATGGTAATGCACGTGATATGATGTTATCATTATTTTTGCAGTCGATGGATTACAGCTTACAGTTTGTTACGTCAGAGCCTGGGTATGGCTTTCAACATCCTCATAAACAATATTGAATGTTTATAGCGAGATTTGAAAACAGTAGATGAGATGGAATTATACAGATTTGCTACCATCCTCAATTCTATTACTGGAAAAAAGTGGTGATAGCACATCATGTGCTATGCCATAGACGACGTCTCATCAGCCTCGCTATAAAGTAGGGTGCTGTGTGAGTGAGCCACTGATGAAGAGAGCGACATTTAAATGTAAGTTTGGCTTTGACAAAACAGCCTCGGTAAGGCCTCAGATGTTGTACTTATATGTTCTAGTTTCGGTAATCCGCCATATTGATTTGTGGGTGAGCGGTTGCGCATCTGTTGTAGCTGTTCATGTGAGGAAGTAAAGCTTCAAGTCCACAGTCACAATATAAAAGTGGTGTTGTTGGATGTAAGAGTTGGATGGATGTATGAGACTGTTTACATTTTCTGTTAGTGCTCTTATACTAGTTAAAGTTTTATTCCACTCTGTTTACTCGGCCGCTTGTTCACTGTACACTTTTTTGTTTTCGTTTTGTTACTCCTACTTCTAGATTGCTGAAGGTGAAGAGAAACGAACACTCGGCTTAGTATTGCTTCGTGGGGAACACATTGTATCAATGACCGTGGATGGTCCTCCCACCAAAAGATGAGGACGCGGTGCGCCTTCCAAAGGCTGGAGGTATTGCCGGACCTGGTCAGTCGAAGCCGGTGGGGCGAGGAATGCCTGTCATGCCACCTGGCATGCCTCCGGTTCCTGCTCCTGGACTTGCTGGAGCGGTTCGAGGTGTTGGTGAGTGGAGCGTCATTATCACTGACTATTAAGTTCAATGCACTCGGCCATTTAGCTTATTATTTGTTCATTCGTGTTATTGTTGCTTTTTCAAACTAGAGTGTTTTGAATTACGGCAACTTGACAGTTTTATAAAAGAGATTTCTCATGAACGAAGTTCACAGTTTTTTTTTCTGCAATATTACTTAATAATTATAGTACCCGCCGAATAAGAAACTTGATGAAGGTTTTTCTTCGAACAATATTGGGATCCAGGGAGCGGAAGTCTACATGGTAGACACTCATAAATGCACAGCTTATATCAGCGATTACAAAAACTTGTGTTTGAACTTCTGAAAATTCGAACTTCTCCAGATATTGGTAATCCCTGTTTTTATTAGGTCGTTCCATCAGTTTTGACACTAGAGACACAAAATAAACAGCAGATTTATCAAACAATAATTCCATGATTTTGGTGTCGTTCAATTCCCTTAGGAACATCTCGGTGTACAACTTGCCTATTGCTTGCTTGAAGATGAAGTTGTCGTGGGAACAAATGCGCTTACCACTCAAGCACGAATGGCGAGTAGGGGCAAATGCTAGTGAAATGGCGCTCAAGATTAATGGAGCTTGAGACGATGATACGGTTGCAGAAAGGACGACGTAGGAAATGGTTCGCGAAGTTCAAAGCTGTAGAGAGACAATCTGGACGATCAGTCGTCCTCGGGTCGTTCTACAGGAAGCTCCATTATTGTTGCGCGCCGCTTCACTGTCATTTTCCTCTACGCGCCATTCGTTTATGAGTAAGCAGGCGAATTTGTTCCCACGGCGACTCCATCTTGAAGCAAGTATAGGCAAGTTGTATACCAAAATGTTCGCAAGAAAATGCGCCGGTTGATATC